GTAGAAGGACGATCTACTAGTGTTGTTGGGAATCGTCGCTATGTGATAACGGGCCAGTCGTACACACCACCCAGCATGAGACAAGCGTCACCGACGTTCCTCGCTTTACCCACCACCGCTCTCACCTGTACACCATCTCGGTCGTCAGCAGCCCGACGTGCTGGTAGTCGGTCATCGCGTCGAACTCCTGACTCATCTGATGCACGGACTTCAGCAGGCCCGTGCGCTCGTCGTAGTCGTACTTAATCACCGTGCTGTCGAATGCGATCTCGGCCAGCCAGCCGTGGTCGTCGTAGCGATGCACGTAGCGGCGCTGGTTGCTCGGGTAGACGGTGCGAAGCAGCCGACCGTCGCTGTCGTAGTCCTGTATGAAAGCGACGTCGGACTGCGGTGCCGTGTAGAGCTTGCGCACGTAGCCGAGCGAGTAGAGCAGCTGGTAGCTGTGCACGGCGCGCGTTGGCATGGTGACCTGACGCAGGTTGCCCTCGCGGTCGTAGCTGATGCTGTACAGCTCGCCGCCAGGTAGCGTGACCTTGACGGGCTGTCGGAACGAGAGAAAGTGACGTATTAGGCAAACGTAAACATAGACATTCGACGTAAATATAGGCATAAACATAAACATAAACATAAACATAAACATAAACGTAAACGTAAACGTAAACGTAAACACACACAGCTGCGTGACCGCCTCCACCACCTCCTCCCCCACCACCACGTACCTGTGAGTTGGTGTTATTGTAGATGTGCGTCGGCCGACGCGGCATCGTCAGATCAGCATAGAAGTATTGCAGCGTGTGGCCGAAGTCGTCGCGTCGCGCCGTCAGCCGACCGTCAGCGTCGTAGTAATACCAGACGTCGTAGTCGCCGACGCGCGTCGCGTAGACGAGCTCTCCGCGCGAGTTGTACTGGAAGCGCTCGGGACCGCGCTGCACGACGAAGCCGTCGGCATCGACCTTGTAGACGACCTCTCCAGCGATCTGCACCTCGTCGCGCGTGTTGTAGGCGAGCCCCAGCTGGCGCTCGTGTCGCTGCACGCCGACGAGATTGCCGTTCGTGTCGTACTTGTAGCGCCAGACGAGTCCGTCGTTGTGCCACACCTCGCTGAGCTGCGAGTCTGCGTCGTAGACGTACTTGGTGATCGTGACCTCGCTGCTCGAGCCGACGACGGACTTCACCTCGCGCACGCGGCCCAGCGCGTCGTACTTGTACTCGGACGCGTGCATGAGCAGGTTCTTGAACTTGTACTTGAGCATCTTGTCGCGCGCGTTGTCGTCTAGCACGCGCGTGATGACGACCTGGTCGTCGGTGACGACCAACTCGTCGGCGCCCATGCGCGCCATACGGAAGTTGCCGACCGACTCGAGGCTGCCCGTCTCCTTGCTGCGAAGAAGCGCAGACGAGAGAGAGTTTAGCGCGGGGAAAATAAATGCGTTCGAATAGCGTTGCTATGTTTTTATTACTGACTCGAGGGTGCCCGTTTCCTTGCTGCAAAGTTGCAGACGAGAGAGTTTAGCGGGGGGAACATAAATGCGTTCGAATAGCGTTGCTATGGGTTTTGTTCGAGATCGGGTGGTTTTAGTGAGCGTTACGTATGTGGAGTATGTGGTATATGGAGAGGAGATGGTATGTGGTATGTGGAGTATGTGGTAGGTGGTATATATCGAGTAGTGTGTGGAGAAACGCGTTGATGACGTTGCTTTTGTTTTGCTTTGTTGAAATTAAAGACGCAAAGCAAGGCGAGGAACGCGAAGAAATGCCAAGGGAGAAGCGCAACACGTGACATAATGAGGTGGAATTCAAGACAGAACTGACGAATAAAAAGTCAAAAATAACGGAAAACACGTCAATGATGAAAGTATCAAGCAAAGACGGCAGTAAAACAGTGAAAGGCCGCAGGAGACGGCAAACCACAAAGCATCGGCGGCAAAAACATGGGGAAGCAGACGGAAACGCGAATAACTTCCCCCCTTTATTGCTCTTATACTCAATAAACGTCTCTCTTATACGCGCCACGAATATTCTAGTGATTCCGTTCGCTATCCTGTTCGAGGATATCCCACCGCCTTCTACTTTAATTTCTGACTGTAAGGCGCGCTGTAAATACTATAACAGTGGTACGGGTGCACGGCAGCGCCACCTACTTGTACGTCATCGTGAGTGGCTGCAGCTGTCGGCCTTCGAGTTCGACGGTGATGTCGGTGACGTGGAAGCTGGTGTCGTACGCGTAGCGGAACCTCGCCTCCGTCCACAGTGTTCTACCTCCAAACCTGAACAACGTGAAGCCGATGTGAGCGAAGACAAAGATACACAGAACTCTTACTCGTGTATCGCTGACTTTACACGACTTTACACTACACAACGAGTGATGCTCCTATTAGTGGTAGTGGGTCTGCGCCCCCTATAGAGACGCAGATCGCTCTCAGATCCACGGCAGCCGTGGAAGAACGCATCAGTTCGTCGAGGCAATTAACGTTGTAGTTCGGGCCACACCCACACGGGGATAGTGGCGGTAGATCTGCATACCGTAGAGACGGCCCAGTCCCCCTTCCTGCACACGCCCAACCTACTTACTTGTGCTCGAATAAATAAATCATAATCTGCACGCGCCCACTGAACCCTCTAGACTTCGAGTTCACACTGCATTCTTACCGCACATTGTACTTTTGTACAAATTATTTTTCTACGTTTCTTTTACAGAATTATATTACAGCCGGACCCGCGAGAACCACCTATTTGATTAATTAATCAATTTATTTAGTTATTTATTTATTTCGTTATTTATATTTCCTTTGATTATTTTCTTTATTGTGTATTTTTTGCAGCCTTATATTCCGCAGACTGGAACGTAGAGGGACGATCTACTAGTGTTGTTGGGAATCGTCGCTATGTGATAACGGGCCAGTCGATGCCTATATTTACGTCGAATGTCTATGTTTAGTTTAACCTAATACGTGACTTTCTCTCCGTTTCTGACAGCCCGGGTCAAGGTAGGCTACCTGCGGCGAGCTAGTAAGAGCATGCAGCTTTACGACCGAGCGAGGGCAACCTGCGTCAGGTACGGATGCAACGCGCGGCCGTGCACCAGCGTACCGAGCTGCTGGCATAAGGCTGTTGCATAGGACGTAGTCAGCGGCTAACACACGTTAGTCTTATGCCAAAGGATGAGGAGGAGCGTATCGCGACGTCGCTTTTCGGTGATGGAAACGAAGAGTTAGGCTAGGAATGACATTAGAGACGGGGCGAGGATCGGGCAGGTGTCATGGGTATGGGTGAGCGGCAAAAATTGCGTATGTTCTTACCCGGTAAGCATACGCAGCAGGCAGATCGAGGCGGACTAGAACGTTTAGGGAGTTGTGGCGAAACATCCGATAGTTAGGTACTGAAAGGACAACGGAGGCTGATGATAGGGCAGTCAGCGGAGGACATGCTGAGGCGATATCAGAATCAGGTATTACGGTGTAGGTGATGATTAAGTAGCGGGGGATTAAGCGGGCAGCGAGCGCAGACGGGCCCTGCTGAAGTCCGTGCATCAGAGGTGAGTCAGGGTAGGAAGTTGAAAGGTGACGGGACAGAATATTGGTGTGTTAGATCGTTGACGTAAAAGAGAGCTGAGAGCAGTGCGGGCTGAGCGCTTGATAGCGGGAAGGAGAAAGGTTGGTGTGAAACAGCCATGTGGAGAGTGGCGGTGGATTGGTAGGACAGAGGGAGAGAGTGAGAAGTTCGGGTGACGGTAGTAGTGGGATGGAGGAATACGTCTCAATGCTGGGGAGTGGATGTTTGGTATTCAAGGAAGAGGATGAAGAGGCAGCGGGTTAGGAGAGGTGAGGAAACCATTGTAGTTTAATGGAAAGAGGATTTAGAGCAGGGGAACCGGCCCGTCTATCACATTTGGAGGAGGGAGGGGAAACTCATCCCAGGCTCAAGTTCATACTAATAGATGAACGTTCCTTACGGGACGGTGGATTTTCAGGTAGAGGCGACTGGGAATGGTCTAAGGGGAGGCTGGGGATGGGAACCGATTCGTATGTAAAAGATTTAATACACATTCGAAAGATAGGAAGGTAAAGAAATAAGGGTGGCAAGGAGAGATGGTAATAGTAAGATGGGGAACCAATGTAGGAAAATTAATATTATAGGAAATAGAAGCGGTAAAGTAGAGAATATGGGATTAATTAATCTAGAAATGAGGTGGTTATCGTGAGGAAACGCAGGGAGCGGTATACTTGAAGAGGGGTTAGCATAGTAGGGGCAGGGTGATTAGGGTATGAGGAATTGTGAGGGGATAGATACAAATAGGATTAGGTTTTAATCGACAGAACGGTAGGGATAGAAGAGGAATGTTGTATAGCAAAAGGATTAGTGAAGGTTACCACGGCCGACAACAACATGTGGCGGCTCAGATTGATGTCAGTGTTGATAAGACTGAATGGCAGGGATTGAAGGAGGCATACGGTAGAGGGTTCAGTGGGGTTAGGCCATGGAGTGGAAAGCCAATGAATGGTATGAAGGTTTATCTTAAATTCGAGCAGACAGGAGGCAATGAGTGAAGGTGCAAGCGGTTATTGGAGAGTTAGGACGGTTGTGCACAGAAGAGGGCGGAATACCTGGTTTGAGGGCTCTACCGATGCTGACATGAACGGGGAGGTTAGACAGACAGAATCTAGCCGCCAATATCCGCCCGTGTGGGTGTGGCTCGAAACTAACACATTGATGTAGGACTCTGCCTCGACGAAACTAGAGTGAGGTGCGTATCTTATCTCGATTTATGGGCATCGGCTTCGTGGAATCTGGTAGGGAGTCGTGACGGCGGTCATCTTATAAGGGGGCGGAGGACCCAATGTGACTAATAAGTATTAGGGAACGCAATCACTCGGGTTGTGTAGTGCTAAGTCCGTGTAAAGTCAGCGATTTCACGAGTACAGAGTTATGTCTTAGATGGGTAATGCTTAGGTGGTGGACATGTCACGGTCACTTAGAATCCGGTTCAAACAGCATTGTTAGTGTTACGTAAGCGAACGGCAAGGTGATGAGATGGAGAGGTGAGGAAAATCTGAGGTGGAACAACCGGGCAGCGTACTTTGAGGTAATTTGGAATGGAGCCGGAGGACATGGACACGTAGGCGTGGTACGGAGAAACAACCACTTGTTAAGCTTTTCCATAAACGTTTCACCAAGAGAGAAGAGTTCAACAGGTCGTAAGACGTCAGTTGAGGAGGCGACCATTAGGTTATCTAATGGCAGGTAGCGAAGGGAGGAGCATAGGAGTGAGGAAACCTTTGTTAGAGCCATCTTAGTAACGATGGGACGGTAAGGCGGATAGGTGGAAGGAGGAGCGGCGGCTTGGAGGTTTGGCACGGGGAAGACGCATTTGGTAGGTAATCAAGTTTGAAGAGGGGATAGAGCAGTACGGGAGTTTTTTTTGTTTTCGCGTAGAGGAGGATCGTTATGGGTATGGGCTAGAAGGGACTCTGACATATGTGTGTAGCATGTAAAATGTATAGGAGTGAGAAGGCGGGAGGATGTGAGAGAGGACTAGGGTAG